TCTGGGAGCATGTTAGCGCGAAATCGTCGAGTCGGGCCTACCTCTTGGGTCCTTTTGGGGCCGTCTTGGGCGCCTCTTGGGCCGTCTTGGGGCCCTCTTGGGCCGTCTTGGGGCCCTCTTGGGGGCCTCTTGGGCCGTCTTGGGGCCTTTTTGGGGTCCTCTTGGGCCGTTTTGGGGTGGTCTTGGAGGCGTCTTGGGTCGTCTTCGACACCGTGGAAGCTGAGAAATCTTATATGCCAGTTTTTCTCAGGGGTTATGATGATTTGTGCCTCTTGGCGCCCTCGTGGGGGTGCTTTTCGAGCGAGGCCTCTTGAGACGTCTTGGGCTCTTTTTTTAGCCTAGTGGAGGCCATCTTGGCCGTCGTGGCCCGATCGTTCAGCGTTTGTGGAGGGTCCAGCAGGCTCTGGGCCTTTCCGACGAGGGCCCAGGCAAATCGTGCCCGCTGTCCCAGGGCCCAGGAATGGCGGGCCCCCGCCCCCCCCGGGCCCAGAGAATTCCGGGGACCCCACCCCCTGGGAATTCTGGCACCCCCCCCCCTCCCCCCTACCCTGGCAGAGCGACCCTGGCACCCCCCCCCGAGTACAGCAAGAGCTTCACGTAGAGTCTCTGCGAACCTGTCAAGTTCTTTGAGACTCTGAGAGAACTCACACGCCGGATCGGCGGATGTTTGTGTGTAAACAGTTATGTGTGTATATTCACTTTTACCGTCTTGAAGCTGTCCTCTCTACTGCTCGTGCAAACATCCCACCCTCCCACCCGCAACTTGGTCGCAAGACTTCTTAAGACAAGACCGTGACGGTAGGTACCACATGGCACTTGGCCACGACACCGACGCCGACGACGACAGCGACAACGACGACGACGGCGCCGCAGACACCGACTACGACGACACCGCCGACGTCGACGTCGACGAAGACGACGACGCCGACGCCGACGACGACGACGAAGACGACGACGACGTCGCCAACGGAGACGACGACGAGGGAGGAGAAAAAACGACGACGGCGACAACGACGACAACGACGATGGAGGAGGGAAGACGGCGACGACGCGAACGACGAAGAAGGAGGAAGGACGGCGACGCCGACGACGACAACGACGAGGGAGGAGGGAAGACGACGACGACAACGACGACGAAGACGACGACGACGGCGACGAAATAGGAGGGACGACGACGAGACGCCGACGACGGACGACGACGACGACGACGAGGGAGGAGGATAACGACGAGGGAGGAGTGAAGACCACGACGACGACGACGAGGACAACGACGAGACGCCGACGAAGACAACGAGGGAGGGAGGACGTCCACGGCGACAACGACGACGGAAGCGACGACGACGCCAAGACGACGACGACGACGACGAGGAAAGACAGAAGACGACGACGGCGACGACGACAACGACGACGACGACGACGACGACGAGGGAGGAGGGAGGACGACGACGACGACGACGCAAGAACGCGCGCGCACGCTTTTGTTGAAAACCCGTGTTGCGAAACCTTGTGTTTTTGTAGGTTTTTTGGGCACACGATTTTGGAATCCTTCCGAAACCGACGGTTTTTGAAGGATTTCGGCATACGCGCGGGACTTCGCGCGCGTCTGCATTTCGTCCCATTTTTTGCAGAGGATTCTCGCGACGGCACACGCACAAGGGCGTTCGACAGATTTCGACATGCGCGCGCGAAGCCCGTTTGGTAGCATTGTGTGAAAATCTCAAAAAACCTATGTTATATATATATATATATATATATCGCAAGAGCTCGCGCGTAAGCTTTTTTAGCAAATCAGTGTTGCGAAACCCTGTGCTTTTGTATGTGTTTTGGAAATTCAATTTTGAAATCTCTCCGGAACCGAAGGTTCTTGAAGGATTTCGGCATGCGCGCGCGACGACGCGCGCGTGCGCATTTCGTCCCATTTTTGCAAAGGGATTCGCGAATAAGTCTTATGTTAGAGCAACAAATGTCACCGCATAGTGTTTTTGACAAGGGAACCTCATGGGGGGGAGGGAACCTGGTTTGGCTGGGATGGTATGATTTCATATTTAGGATGGACGAGTGTGCAGAATATATATATATATATATATATATATAGATATATGAAATCGTATTACCCCAGGGGGGACCGATAAGTCCGGGGGGGGGGAGGGGGGTAGAATCTATTAATCTTTTAGAAAGGAGAATATACACACACATGTCTAGTGGCCTTCGGCCCATCCCGCCACCGTGCCTGAGTTGTGGGTCTAGGCCTCTTGGGATATAGCGGGAGGCCTCCCGGTGGCTTCGTGCAGGCAGTTTTGAGGCTTCTTGGATTGGGCCTATTGGGGCATCCTTGCGGCATCTGGGACCAAGGCTCGAATTGTCGGTTCGAGCACCTGATCTTGGGCCCCTCTTGGGGCCGTCTTGGGGCTCTCTTGGGCCGTCTTGTCTTGGGGCTCCCTTGGGCCGTCTTGGGGCCCTCTTGGGGGCCTCGTGGGCCGTCTTGTTGTGGTCCTTGGGGCCTTGTGGGCCGTCTTCAACGCCGTGAAGGCCGAACAGTTTTTCTACACACGTACACACAGACACACACACACACCACATATATATATATATATATACATATCTATACACATACTTATGTGTATATTTATATAAGTGTGTACGTACGCTTTCTGAAGCGAATTGGACGATGCTTTCCTCTCGGGGTTCCCTTGGGAAGCCTCTTGAAGGCCTCTTGCGACGTCTTGGGTGCTCTTTTGGCGGACTCCAGTCCATCCTAGGCGTCTTGGACCGATCGTGCAGCGATTGGGGGCCCTCCTGTGCCATCTTTGGGCGCTCTTGGGGCACTCTTTGCCCGTCGTTGGGCCCTTGTGGGCCCGTACAAATTATGCGACACGCCCAGGGCTCCACGCGAAAAAGCCCAGGGATATTTGCGAATGTGGTGTCCTGGCCCATAAGAAGAAGCCTCTGGATTTGAGGGCCGAGGCTCCAGGGGATAGAGCAAGGGAGCTGAGAGCACTCCCAGCTCGTGCCTCAAGGCCTCAAGGGCACTGTAACGGTCACAGCACATTATATATATATATATATATATATATATATATAGGTGCGGTGTACAAGCGAATTGCGCACACACATACATACATATCTACACACACCTACACGTCTATTCATATCGTTTGGCGTGTACGTCTTACAGCCACCATCCTTCTTTTTGCCGTTTGCAGTAAGAATTTGCTGTCCAGACAACGCGTTCCAGTGCAGGTTGCCTACAACCACTCGGCACGCATGTGAGCGAGGCAAAAAAACGGGTTCGTCTGCGCCGACATTGGCGCGTAAGGTCGCGCGTAAGCGCCCTCGTCTCCAATGCAGCGTGCCGCGCTGGCGGCCCGCGTCGGCCACCGCGTAAGGTCGCCATGCCATCTCATGTAAGACCCGTTTTTGATCGTCGCTCATGTGTAGCGGAGCGGTAACCCATGCAGAACCATTTCGCAGAGAATTCGCGTCTGCACTCGACGTTTTGAGGGGGATTTGCACGTGGACGCATCAGTTGGAGGATTGCCAGTTCGCGTTGGAATAACGTGTCATGCGCGGTATGTATTCCTCGCCGTTGTTATGTGTGGAGTGGGTGGAGGGCGTCCACGTAACGCCTTGTGCTTGTTTTGTAGTGGGCACCCTTCTTGGAGGGAGACGCACGTATACTCTTATGATCTGGGATGTTCACATGCTCTTAATTCGTGGACGACGGCCGACACATCGAAGCGTTCTGCAGTTCAATCTACAGCTTGATCTACGTCAGAAGAAATGATATGCAGACGCGCTTTCAGTTTCATCACCTTTTATCCTGTGAGGAAGGATGACGGAGCAGGGAGTACGATGATGGAAGGGGGAGTGACGAGTAGGAGGGGAGAGGGAGAAGTAATGACGATGCTGACGATGATGACGGTGCTGCTGCTGCTGCTGAAATTGATGCTGATGCTGACGACGATAATGATGCTGCCGATGATGAGGATGAGGATGAGGATAAGGATGATGGTTATCACGATGATTGGTGAGGGTAGGATGAGGATGAGGATGAGGATGAGGATGATGATGATGAGGATGATGATGAGGATGAGGATGAGGATGATGGTGATGGTGATGGTGATGGTGATGGTGATGGTGATTGTGATGGTGATTGCGATGATGATGATGATGATGATGATGATGATGATGATGATGATGATGACGATGATGATGATGATGATGATGATGCTGATGATGATGATGATGATGATGATGATGCTGATGATGATGATGATGATGATGATGATGATGATGATGATGATGATGATGATGATGATGATGATGATGATGATGATGATGATGATGATGATGAGGATGAGGAGGAGGAGGAGGAGGAGGAGGAGGAGGAGGAGGAGGAGGAATAATATATGGAGTATTGCTGCGGACGAGGGGGATGAGCAGCATTATGACGATAATGGTGATGATGATCGTGAGGGGGGCGAGGACGAGGACGTTGGTGGTGATGGTGCTGCTGCTGCTGATGATGATGGTGATGGAGGAGGAGGAGTTGGAGGAGGAGGAGGAGAAGGAGTAAGAGGAGGAGCAGGAGGAGCAGGAAAGGAGGGAGGCAGCCGCAGATGTATTTTCACATGCGGAGCCGCCCTCAGCAAGCCGCAGGGGCCGCCTAAGGGGTGATTTCGCGTGCGCAGCAGCCTCGAGCAAGCACCCAGGGTCGCCGCAAGCGTAGTTTTTGGTCTTGAGCAGCCTCCGGCAACCTCCAGGGATCGCCGTGGGCAGATTTTCGCGAGAGGAGCAGCTTCCAGTAAGAAGCCCCAGGTGTGGAGGGGGGGGGGGAGTGCTGCGGGAGGAGAGTGGCAGGAGGGAGGAGGGAGGCAGGAGGAGCAGGAGGAGCGGGGGGAGCAGTTGGAGGTGGAGGAGCAGTTGGAGGTGGAGGAGGAGGAGGAGGAGGAGGAGGAGGAGGAGGAGGAGGAGCAAGAGGGCATCCTCGGCGCGGGGAGGCGGCGGCGAAGGTCCCGTCGGGCGGCATCACCGGCGCCCAGAAGGCAGCCCACGCCGCCTCCTGCCCCCGTGCCGCCGCCTCCTCCCTGCTCTCGAATGACAGACGAAACCTGCACAAACATGGTTTCTTGGAGTTCCGCGCGGATCGATTGGATCGGCCCTGGGCCCCCCTGGCGGCGCCTCCGGCGCCGCCCCTGGCGCGCGGAGCGCGCCAGGGAGGGATGTCCAGCCCCGATCCAAGAAATCCGCGCGGACCTCCGAGAAATTATGTTCATGCTTCGTACCCCTTTCCCATCCCCCGGTCTAGCTGGGACGACCCCGGTGCAGTCAGGCGGCCATGGTACTCCCCCCGAGCCAAGATTTCCAACGGTGCTCTGGACAGGCGGAGCGTATCCCACTGTCCCCCTCTCTTCAGCCTCTCCTTCACCCTCCCCTGTCCACCTCTACCCGCGTGCGTGCGCGTGTCTCCGTGAAGTCCCCTGGGGGGTCTTTACCGACCCGACGTGGCGATTGCCAGCTTGGCCCCGATTTCAACCTGCAACCTATTGCGAACGCTGCCCCTGCGGGTCCAATCGACGCTGGGCTGTCGGACACACCGCTGGGGTTGACTTGACTGCAGACATCCTTCAAATTGCGAACCCCAGCCCGTTCTTCAGAAATCAAACTCGCAGGCACGGGATTCCGACTTTGACCCGGCGTCCCGCCGATTCGCGGCTGCTCCTCATTGCGCCCCCCCGCCTCCGCTGCTTGCGGTGCTCTATGCCTCATAGATGGGGTCGGAGTAGATGGGGTCGGAGGATCGCGCCGCATCCGCGATGCATCGGCGATGCAGCTCGATGTGGGGCCCAACCTTCTCCGCGCCGACGTCGCCGATGCGTCGCCGACGTCGCCAGTGCACGGCCGATGCATCGGCGATGCTTCGCCGAGTTATCGGCGATGCGGCGAGGTCCTCCGACCCCATCTACTTCGGACCCCATCTGGGATTAGGTCGGGCGTGTCCTCCTACAGGCGGATTCCGACCCCATCTACTTCGGACCCCATCTGGGATCAGGTCCGGCGTGTCCTCCTCCAGGCGGATTTGGGATGACAAATACAACATATAGTAAACCCAACAGAACTCCCAAATAGCCACGCATAGTCACACAATCGTCCCCGGACCATTTTTCAGCTGTTTTTGAATATTCCTCCTGTAGAGGGACACGCCCGGCCTCCAGGTGCCCCCCCTCGGGCCGTGCGCCGGGCCGCCGCAGGGCCGAGGCGGCGGTGCTGCCGCCGCCCCCTGTTGCGGCGGCCCCCCCGCCCTCCCCCGCCCCCTACGGTAGGTCCGTGTCGTGTCGACCGGCGGCGACCCCGCCGGCGGCGCTCGAGTTTGAACACCGCGGGTGACCCAGAATCGTTCGATGTGGAGCGATGCGGAGGTTTCGGAAGCGCCCGATCGTGTAAGGCTGAACGATCCCCGCGGTGTCAGGAACCAACGCCAGGGTCGAGGCGACGCGAACCTGTCGTGCAGTTCTACCGACCACAGCTGTACTATGTCCGGGTGCTCCGCGCCGCTCTCCCCCGACTCTGGCCTGCCAGGAGCTCCGCCGTCGCCGCGTGCTGTTCTTCCCGGGAGGGGAAAAGACACACCGACACAATGAATCGTCGATCCCCCGGAAAATGTGGGAAAATGTGGGAGTTGGGGGAGGGGAAGGCGAAAATTCAGAAGATATGAGAAAATGTGAGGAATCGTGGGATCTATGTTTATTCATTCAATCGTTTTGCTCATTACGCCGGCCCGTGTTGTGCCATCGCAGGCGTCTGCCTGCGCGTTCGTGGTCTCTTGGAGCCTCGTGGGGGCCGTTTGGGGGCCTCTTGGCGCCGGGGCGCCAGGCTGATCGCGCGCGAGGGTGAGAGAAGGGCGGCCGCGCGGGCGAGAGGACGACGCTGTCAGAGTGCTTCACTTTTCTCGTCTAAACTCGTCCTCGTGCCGCGACGCCCTTCCTGAAAGAGCATTGTTTAAACATCTTGCTCCAAATCCCCTCGAGGAAGCGCCCAGGGCCGAACGGCATGCCCGGCGTCGCGTTTATAAGAGGGCGGCCAGATGGTTGCTCGATTGATTCTGGGAGGCGCTGGACAAAGCGCAGCTGGACGGCGCCTCGGATCTTCTTGCGTGCTTCGTGGCTCCCAAGTAGCAAGGTGGCAAATCCGTGCCGGCTGTCGCAGATTCGTAACCTCGAGCTTCCGAACCCAGTGTCAACCCAACATACTAATACTATTTGTACGTCGCCCCCCCAGGGGCGACGCGCGCACCGCGAAATCTTGATGTATATGCGTCGTGGCGGGCGCTTTCTTGCCACGCCGCTCGGGAAACGATGTACTATAAGCTGGGTATACTATATGTTTGGGTCGGACGCCCGCCTCCCAGGAGGACATACAGTACTAGTTTGTCTCTGTGCGTCCCACGAAGGAGGAACGGAAGATGCGGTCGAGAATGATCGCGACGTTGCTAGGCGACTCGGCGGCGGCATCTTCTTTCTACGTCGGCGGCTAGGCAGAGTCACTGCGCTGGCGATGAAGCAAAACGGGGCTGCCGTTAAGCGAATTGTGCCACCGTGCAAGGGGGGGGAGTAGACAACGGAGCGATGGCCGGAGAGGAGGAGGAGGAAGCGGGCCGGGGCCGCTCAAGGGAACGGGTCGTTCCCCGCAGCGCGTGGCGCGGCCGTCACCGCCGCGGGGCCAGCAGCTGCAGCGGTGCTGGGGGGGCCAGCGGCGGCGGGGGCAGATGCTGACCAGGTCAGCGGGCAAGGTTACATGTCACGTACAGTTATAAGGAAGCGCCAGTGCCTCAAGGACGGGGAAGGCGAAGCCCACCTCGAAGGGGCGAAGTGGGGCGGGGGAAGGCGCGGGCGGCAGGACCAGCCCAAGCGCCAGGGGCGGAGAGGCGGGCGGCCAGCAAGCCGAGGAAGCGCGTGCGAAGCGCAGACGATCCCGAGAGAGCCACAGGGCACGTCACGGGGGGGGGCCACGAGGGCTGGTACCGAACAGGGCGGCATCTTCACACGCCGCCCAGCAAGCCTTTGTCGAAGGGGCGCGACTTCGTCGGGAACCTTCTCGTCAGGAATCTCTCCTGTTGCAGCATGTCGCACGCGGGCCTTGTTATGCACAGACTCTTCGAAAGGGTAGGTAGCACATGATGGGGCATTCCTACGTTTTGGCGAAGCTGCGCCACGCTGGCCTGCCCTCAGGGATGGCCTGGTGCGTGATGGCGCTCTTCACCAATTGCCCATCTACTCTTGTGCTGAGCGGCGTGATCACGCATAGGTGTTTCTGGCAATGCGGCTTACGACAAGGAGACCCTTTATTTTGCTTATTGTGTAATCGCAGTGGATACTCTGTTTTGGTGTCTGTGGCCGATGGGGCGAAGTTGGGATGCTGTGTGGTTTTGAGACGATTGGCAAGTGGAAGTGCTCGCGCCCAGCTCGCTACGACGCGTCATGTCGTGGTTCGACACATTCCAGAGAGCATCGGGACACACAGTGAACAAACAAAAGACTGGAATTTCTACGGCAACAAATGACATAAACATACAAATTCGGAGGTCCGCGCGGATTTCTCGGATCGGCGTTGGGCCCCCCCGGCGGTGCTTCTGGCGCCGCCCCTGGCGCGCTCCGCGCGCGCGCCAGGGAGGGGGGTCCAGCGCGGATCCGAGGAATCCGCGCGGACCTCCGAGATTTCTGTTTATGTCATTTCTCGTTCCCCTCATTTTGCCCACGCAACACCCATCGGAGCAGGGGCAGGCCGAGTGGCGATCGATACGGGCGGAATGACAGATTCCAGATCGAAAGGAACTATTTGCCGGGGCTTGTCGGTGGGACCCGAGTTGTCCCCCGAAGCGGTGTGCGCGGAGATCGAGGGGAAACTGGTGAACCCGCTGGTGGTCTTCATCGCGATTCTGATGCCGAAGCCCATCCAGGGTTTTCACACTGAGCACGTTATGTTTGCCAATATGTTCGTTTAGATCGGGCGTTTCGTTTATTCCTGAGTATGTTAGGAAGCGGGTTGACAGGTTATTGTGGAGATTGCTGTTGCCCGTCCCTATTGTGAAGCCCGTCATCTTAGAACACGTGAGAAGGCGTTTCGGGATACGTCCGTGCCTGCATAATTTGAGACTGTCGAACGTTGCCGCGCTCATCGCCGCCGCCGTCAGCTTGAAACGTGTCGGCGTTGGCGCGGTCCCTCTGTCGGCCTCTCTTGCTGCCGATGGTCACCCCATGAGATTACGGCGTCATTTTCGTTGATCTTTGGCTTTCCACGGCAGCAGCAGGCAACACGGATGTCAGGGCATGAGGGATTAGGCGAGCAGGTGGCCCGACGAGTGCACGCGCGTCTCCTGGGGGCGGAGGCTACTGCGGTCGACGACCACATGGCGCAGCAATTGCGAGCCAGAGGGGCCGATGCTGAGGTGGTGCAGGCCAAGTTGTCGCGGCTCCCGGCTTCGCATACCCATCATCGCAAATGTTAGTGTTCCAATGAATATTTACCGCAGTGCCTACGGCGAGGCGATGCTTATTCTTGCACGGAGGCGCTCAAGATGTGCGAGGTTGGCGAGGATAGCGTTGAACACACGGCTGGGTGTCTAGTTGTCGTGAGCGAGTATGACACGGCGTGCACGCGTGCTGGAATTATTGGCGAGTGGAGTCTTGATCATGTTTTCCCCAACGTGCATTTGGACGGCGTGCAGCTGCAGGCAGTGGCCGCGCTTTTGTTCGCAGTGGGCAGGATCCGGCGAGTGCTGAGTGATGTGCGTACGTTCCACGACAGCATCGAGTGTAGATGCCACTCGGCGTTTGCTCTAGCACTGTCCCGACGCGACCGCCGAGCTCGCCGAGCTGCTGACACGATGCCCGCAGCAGTTGTCCTGGGCGCTGCTCTATACCGCTCAGACGGCGCCGCGCGGGGACAGGGATATGGTGGAGGTGAGATTGCCTGCAGCTGCGCGGCCGTCTGGATACGAGGCGGACAGGCTAACAGGGCGAGAGGCGAGTGGGCCGCCGGCCTCCGACGTGCCCGAACAGCGAGGCAGAGTGCGAAGGCTTGACGCTTTGCCTTCAAAGACGTCCTCGGCCGGCAGGTGCACGAAACCGTTCTCGAGGTATTTGTTGTTGTCATTCTTGATCGGCTGCGCAGCTTTGGATGGCGATGCGTGATGCGCCTCATCCGGAGGCGGGTTGACCAAGGCAGCCACGTCCGAATCCGACAGTACCGTGGGTGCAATGTACTGGCAGATGCTCCAGCCAACGAGATGTTGAATGGCGCCCCCGCCATCCAGGACAATTCGATCATCTGATGCTGCTGCTGTCTGTTTTGACGGTTGGAGGCCTTCGTTACCCCATTGAACGGAATTTCGTGCCTCATCAAATGCGAGTCCTTCGCGCCGAGCCCAACGATGTTGCTTCTCCGAGACACCGAACTGAGGACACTTAAATCACCTTGAGTTTGGCACCCACAATACCGCTAATTTCGGGGGTGAAGCCACATAAAAAAACAAGCAGGGGGGCCTCAGAAGGTTTGGGGAGGCGTGTGGTTGGCTTTGGTGGGCCTCTTGGGTTTTTGTTTGAGCCTCTAGGGGACTTCTTGTCTTTCGGGGGGCATCTGGTGCCATGAGGATGGGAAAGGCTCGAGATGTCAGTTTGGATTGCCCCTCCGCCCCTGTGGCCGTCTTGACGCCTTCTTGGGCCCTCTTGGGGCTGTCTTCGAGACCTCTTGGGGGCCTGCGGGCCGTCTTGGGAAGATCCTGGGGCCCCCTTGGGCTGTACTGGGTGCTGACAAGAGGAGAAGGGCGAGTATATCGAACATGTGCTTTTCCTCCGGGAGTGAGGCCATGTTTGCGTGTTGTGGGCCTCTTGGTGGTCCTCTGAGTCCTCTGGGAGCACTTTTGGGCCGTCGTGGGGGCTTCGTAGACTGTCTTGAAGCCATCTTGGACCGTTGCGGGGTTACCCTGGGCTGTCTCGAAACTCAATTGGACTGTCTCGGCGCTCTGGTTGGTTAGGCCTTCTTGGGCCGTCTGGGGCCCCTCTGGAGGCTCCGGAGAACCCCAGGGGGTGCACTGAGGAGCTCGTCCACCCGCCACGTAGAATTGGAGTTTGGTCCCTTTAGGAGGGGGAACTGAAGAGGGGGACGGACAAACACACGCTTTTGCACTCCCGGCACGCGGGAGCTTTCGGAAAATATCATTTATTCGATCCGATTCTTGTGCGTGTTTCAAAATTGTGCTCCCTTTTGCAGTGTTGACCTGTTAACCCCGTTTTCAGATCGGCGCTCTGCTCTCGTCGTTCAGAATGACGCTCTCGCCCCAGCCTGGGCCCCTTTTCTGGAGCCCTGCCCTTTTTTATCACTGCCGCACCCCTCATGTACCCTCCTCCGCCTCCCCCTGGGCCTCCTGATCCTCCCACTCTTTCCACTCCAGTTCCTCCTGTTGCTGTTTCTCCTCGTCGTCCTCCTTCCTCATCATCCTCTTTCCCCTCATGCTTATCCTCCGGCTCACCCGCCACCTCCCCATCATCATCCTATGCACGCAGCTGTCTTTTTGTCCCGATTGCGCAAAACACGAGGGGGTCTTTTTGTTGGGTTCCAGGTCGGCTATGACATGCGGCCGTGGATACAGGAAATCAGCGCAATTGGAAAGGACGGGAGGGAGAGACAGCATGTCAGATGTAGCGCAAGCGCGCCTAGCTTGGCCCTCCCTCGTCTGCCGTCTCCAGGAGGCGGAGGAGGAAGAGGCGGCAGTTTTTGACGCCTCCGGTGTTTTCTGGGGGCCTCGCCCCCCCCCCCTCGGTCTTCCTCCCTTGTCCCTCCTTCCCCTTCAACCTTCTCCCTGCTCCATGCTTCGGCTGCGACGCAGGCGATTCTCATCCTCGCCGCCGTATTGGTCGGCCCCGCCGTTCTCAAGCAGGCGACCATGAGGGCGAGGACGAAGCAGGAGTGAGGAGGATGAGGAATCAAGAGGGAGGAAGGATGTAGAGGGAAAAGGAACGCAGGAAGGAAAGGAGGAACCATGTGAGGACGAGGAGCGAGGGACATGCATATGAGGAGTGTGGATGGTGGTAGTGATGATGCCGATGAGTAGGATGAGGAGGACGGATGGCTGCGTTCGAATCGAATTCCGAAGCTGACAGCGACAGCGACAGGATGAGGAGGAGGAGGAGGAGGAGGAAGAGAAGCAGGAGCAGGGACTGTGGATGAGGAAGGATGAGCAGGAAGAGGAAACGCTGGAGGGATGAAAGGGGAGGGGGAGAAAGTTTGGAGGAGGAAGAGAACGATGATGATGCAGATGCTGCTGCTGCTGATGGTGGTGATGATGGGCGTGATGAGGAGGAGAGGTCTCCTGGATACGGAGACTTCAGGCATTAGTGCTGATAGGCGAGCAGACGTGACGTTGCGGCGTGCAGCGATTCGTCTCCAATGTAGGAGGCATGGGCAGACGAGCCCTGCGGTCCTCGTGCCAGTAGACGCCGTGGCCAAGGAAGGTATCTCTAAGTCTAACACTGGCCAGCTTCAGCTCCCGCGGGCAGGTCTTCTCTAGACCTCTAAGAAGGGGTGCTTTCGTGCTGTGTCGGTTCGGCAGTTGGCGTCGTCGTCCGTCGCGTCTACCTCCTCCCGTGCTTCCTGGACGCCCGGTGCCACGCTGGATGCGAGCATCCAGTCCGAGCGATCCCAAATGGCGGGCAGTATCTTGTTTTATTGAGACGAAGTTCTTGCAGCCGACGGGCGAGACGGGGGAATTAGTCGAAGGTTTCGAGCCGCGCCGCAGCTTCGACGAGGCCAGCACCTACCACTGCCAGTTCTACCCTCACCACTACCTACCACTGCCTACCACTGCATCCTCATCAAGGAGGACCTGGAGCGCGCCAGCCGACCCAGGTATGTCGCTGGCGGCTACGGCTGCATTGTGCACGAGATGTGGGGGCGCGAGGCGGTGCAGAAGGGTTCCAGCACGTATCACCATGTCGTCGTTTTCTTATTTCATCGCTTCGGTCATTCCGCTGGCTCGTATTGTGTTGGGGGCCCCCAGGGCCTCTTGGGGGGCTCTTGGAGGCTTCTTCGGGCGGGAGGGGGGGTAGTCGAATGCGGCTCCCCCCTCGGAGGCCACGATCCTCGTGAGGGGTGTCGAAAAATTGCCCTCCCCTGGAGTGCTCTGGTGGCTCCTCCCAGGACCTTGCCAGGATACTTTTTTTGCCCGGGGACCCACAGGGGCCGCCCCGCGCGCGCGAACTAGAGATATTGTGAACCAGTTACCGGAGATCTCAGCACGCTTCTGGCCCGTTGGGCCGGCGAATTCATTGTGTTGCCGATCGGCGCGGGCTCTCGCACCCCCCTCCCCCCCCTGGAGTAGACCTTGGCTGTTTTCGGCGTCTGTTCCAACAAACAGTCGCACCGAGCAGAGGTCCGAAGCCGGAGCGCCCCCTCCCTCCCCCATCCTCCTCCGCCCAAGGTCGAAGCGCCGAGTCGGAAAACGCTCGCCGTGGCAGCCGGACAGCGCCGCGAGATGCCCCGGTTCGCGCAGACGGTGGGCGGCGACGCGCCGTCGGATAGTGAAAGTGCCCGCGGCGCGTGCTGGGCGTGCTGTGCAGCACAGAGGGCGACTGCGGTGGCGAGGGCCACGGCGAGGGGGGGCTCGCGGTGCGTGCTGGCCGCCCTGCCTCCGAAGAAGAGAAAACCGCCACAGACGGAACGTCAGGTCGGGCATGTCCTCCTACAGGCAGATTTTGGAGGGAAAATGACGAATCATTCAAACATGTTTTAACACAGATAATCAAAAATAGTCAAAGCAATGTCCCCTGAATTTACTTGCTGGACTATTTTAGAAGGCTCCTCAAATAGAGGGCCACGCCCGACTTAAACAGTCTTCTTGGATCCGCGCTGTGCCCCCTCGGCGGCGCCTCTGGTGCCGCCCCTGGCGCGCTCCGCGCGCCAGGCAGGGGGGTCCAGCGCAGATCCAAGAAATCCGCGCGGAGCGCCGAAATTTTCTGCTCATGCCGTTTTTTCTTCTCTGCCTGGCATCTGCTCGCTGCAGGGTGCCGAGGACGAGAGGTTCCTCGGGAGCCCCGCTTCCACCCGCGCCTCTTGTGAGCCTGCTGGGGGATCGCGGGAACCCCACGGTCGTGGCCGAGAGCTACCGGAAGGACGCGTGCCGCCTACGTCCACCTCGGGACGCCCACGGGCGGCTCGCCAGAGACGTGGTCGGCAACGTTGTCAAGTGCAGCGCCCTCATGAGCCGCGGGGAGCTGAAGTTTACTCTGGGCCTCCACCCTACGCCGTCGGGATGTTCCAGCGCCTGCGGTCGAGTCACTCGCTGCCGCAGGACCCGTGACCCGCGAGCACTTCGCCCGTGCTGTTCGTCTGCGGGTTTCGGTGGCGCCTCAGTGGGTGCTGGCCCTCCTCTCGGCACCGATGCCCGCTCAGCCTGCATGCCAGGCTGACAGCGCTCACGGGGGACATTGCCAGGCCTTGTTTCAGTCGGTGGCGCTTCCATCGCAGGACGCCCTGGCTGGCCTCGGGCTCGGGGGCCCCAGAGGCAGATGCAGGCCCAAGCTGCCGCGTGACCAGCCGCGAAAGGCAAACGGCCATCCCGCAAAGTCGGGGTAGCCGATGCGCTCCAGTGCAGTGTCATTTCCCCGTGCAGTCTTGGAAATATACATTTGTGAAGCCCCTTGCCCAAGTTCTCGCTCCCGGGCCTTGTGCAGTGAGGGGTTGCTTGAGGAGTCAGCGAGGATGAGGGTGAGAAAGACGGGGATTGGACGAGGAGCAGTAGGAGGTGGAGGAGGAGGATGAGGAGGACGAGGAGGACGAGGAAAAGGTTGAGGAGGCGGAGTAGGAGTAGGAGTAGGAGTAGGAGTAGGAATATGAGTAGGAGTAGGAGTAGGAGTAGAAGTTGGAGGAGGAGGAGGAGCAGGAAGAGGAGGAAGGACAGGGATGGGAAGGACAAGGGAAACGGCGAGGAGGGTGAGGAGTGGAGAGGATAGGGGGAAGGGGAGCGGGAGAGGGAGGGGTGTGTCGGGCAGGGGTATATATATATAGAGAGAGAGAGAGAGATGGTCGCGTCGGCTCGCCGAAGTCATTGCTTCCCACCCCCTGGGCCAGTTCCCTCTTTAGGCTCTCCTGGTCGGTTGACGTACCCCGACAGTGCCTGGGACGTGTTCTTCGCCCTGCATCACCCGGCCGGGGTGAGCCATGGCGGGGGCGGGCCCTCGTCTCGGCGGCGGACAACTTACATATCCACCTCGTTCCTCCCGCCTCCCCTTCAGGGGGAGGGGGGACACATTGAGAGCAGGAGGACGGAGGAAGGAGGTGGATCTGTGCTGCCGTTCGGCTCTCGGGGCCCCTCTTGGGCTCCTGGGCCATGCTGCGAGGGGGCGCTGTCGTGGCCACGTGTCCCTGGCCCACGCTGCTGTGGCCCGCGCAGCTGTGGCCATGCTCCGCAGGTATGTGCTAAGGAGAGGATCGCCCTAACAAGGGTTGGCCAGAGGGGTTGGCTGGGAGGTTTGCCCGTGCAGTTCTTCGGATGGCTATTCGTTCCAACGCATATAGTGGCCTTCGCAGACCCCGGCTCCTCCCCTGTGGGAACGGCCGGGTGTCTCGGGACCCTCTGGGTCCCAAGAAGTGGGACCTGCAGTCCTTCACGACAGGCCGTCTGGGCCTTCGAAGAAGAAGAAGAAAAAGAAAAGAAGAAGTCTGCTCTTTTTCCTCGACGCGTCCCGAGCGTCTGGTCAAGTAGACTCGGGCCACCAATCGAAGCGGAGTGAGGCAAGAACATGGCATCAACATCTCTCCTCCGTCCTTTTCCTCCTGCTGCTCCTCCTCCGTCTTCTGCCGAGCCGAGGGGCTCGGCCACGAGGAGCTTGAGCTGGCCGCTGAGCGGCCCAGCCGGCTTCCCGCACAGCGGGCCGGCGCGGTTGAGAAGTTCTGTGGACCTCTCACTCCTCCCTTTGGAGTCGCCTCCTTCTGGAGTCGCATACATCCTCCCTCTCATTCTCCCCGTTGCTGGCAGCAGGTGTACGACAAGGTGACAACGGAGACGGTTGACGCCTCTGCCTTCAATATCGTCACCCACTACGACACTCCTGCGATTGAGATGATGGACGGGGCTGCTGTTGCGGTCTGGCTGTTTCGGGAGGAAGAGGAGATTGAGGAGGAGGAGGAGGAGGAGGAGGAGGAAGATCCGACGTAGGCCAGCCTCGAGGCCAGCCCTGTACACAGTTGACACTCAGGGTTTGTGCTAAACCCGAGAAGATCTAGAAAAAGCACGTGGGTGGTCCTGGGACCAATGAGAGGGTTGACTCAAACACCCTGGGCAGCAACCCAAGAGCTGCTACACTGCAACATTTACTGACATGTCTTTTCGGCCTGCTATACCCTAGCAGCCATACTTGCAACCATATTTGCAATAGTTACTTTCCAGAGGCCAGCCTACACTAGCCAGCCTCACCATCTCAGCTCTTGCTCTCCTTCCTCATGATTTTCATTACTCCCTTCTTTCTCACTTCACCTCTCTAAGTTTCGGGGTGCACCTGACAACCTGGGCACATCCCAACCTGACGTCCATTTCTATGCCGCTTACGTTTACCCGAACTCTCAGCCGATACCTGTGAGTGGATGTGGGCTGAGGCGGGTCTGCGGAGGATCAGTGGGGCGGGGATGGAGTAGCATTTGACAGCTTGTACCTAGATGCACAGACCAGCCTCCAGGCCAGCCTTAACCAGCCTGTTCGTTTATTTGCAAGTATGACTGCCTCACATGCAAGCATGGCGCAAGCTGGCTTCTTTTTTCGCAACGTGCTTGCGCGTACAGGACTCTGCACTCACGTGCTCTCCGTTCTTTCGAATTGACAGCACGTACCACTATGTATATAATAGGGTGCCACATCACTTGGCTTCAATATTGTTATGGGGCTTACTGCACTAAGGTACGTGTTGTCGTACTTGGCGGGCGCCTACTGTTTAACATTTCTCCGCGTCGCCCGCCAGGTACCTTGTGCGTCGCTTCGGGTTTACATTATCAGCTGCTCAGCTTACGTCCGATCAACGTCAAAAAGCAGGAGGACCAGAAGCAGCAAGATGATGTAAGGAGCAGGATCATCAGGAGGAGGACAGAGGGGAAAACGAGGTTGATGGTTGAGGAAGAGGTGCGATGAGGAGGAAGATGAGAAGGAGGAGGAGGAGGAAGACCGCTACAGCTGTTCAGCTTAAGTCCGAACAACGTCAAACAGGACGAGGAGGAGGAGAAGGAGGGTTCGAGCGATTCAGACCGGCGACACGCCGCGACGACCCGCTATTAGGTTCTGGATCCCCTTCCTCGCCATGCGCTCGGGTCCCAGCACGAACCCGTCCACCACGTCCTGGCAATCTGGGAAGATATGTGCTGGCGGGACCGCCTCAAGAAGGGCCTGCAGCACCGCGTGCAACCCGGCCCGCAGGGTAAGTTGAGTCCATTGCGCTCCAGGCAGCGGCCCAAAGCAGCAGTAGGCCAGTCTGTAGTCGTGCGTGATAGTCACGAAGCTCCACCCAGCACGTAGGATCGGCGCGCATGCCCCTTAGAGCAGCGAGCCGTCGGTGTGGATGTCGTCCGCCACGAAGGCCTCTTGGCCTCCCTCGCTGAGCCAGGCGTCGCCCGACGCGATGTCCCACAGGAGGTCCAACGCTGAGTCCTCGGCGAGGCCTCTGCCCCACAGCGCCTCTGCACCTTGCGCTGGCCAAGGGTTGGCCCCGCGCTGCACGGTGTGGCGCCCCCCCGCCCTCGTCCCTGTGTGCCGCTCGTGCTGGACATGCGAAGGTTCTGTGCCTCTCCGTGCCCAGCATTTGCCCACACGCTTTGCACATGTGCCATCTGGCGCCGCTCCCTTGCCCTGGGTCGCGCCCGAGGCCACGTGCCGCCGCAAGATGGGCCCCTCGCCCTGGTCTGGTGTTCTGGCTTCCACCTTCCCTGCGTCGGCTTCCGCAAGCAGCGCCCTCACAGGCTCCAAGAAGATGCCGACCATGCCGAAGGTCGGGTCCCACGTCTGAAGCCAGGCGCCCTTTAGCTGCAGCTGCATCGCGACCCTCGCGTGGTGGTGCACCTCGTGGAGGGTGGTGCACCGCAGGCCGTACACGGTGTCAGTGATCGTGACGGCGTGCGCTGCTGGGGTCATCCAGCCCAGCCGGGCGATGATGGCCACGAGGTTGCCCGTTGGCCCCCCGCACGTTCCTTGCGATCCTGACGTTGCAATGTTTCAACAACTGGCGTTTTCCCTCAACTTCGGGCCAGGCCCTGGGGCCCTCACGTATCGATCTTGCTCGAACAATTACGCAGGAAGATGGGGTCCGGGGCTCAGGGCGTAATCTTTTGCGATGTTCCATTTGTTCTGCAGCGTCGGATCTCATGGCTGAGCCATGGGGCCCTGCAGGTGGCGCTGCGCACGACGCAGCTCTGGAAGGCCAGCCGCTTCGGCAGCACGTCGTCGTGGATCGCCTCATGCCACGCCGTGGCCCAGGCCGTGATGAGTCCCGAGTTGGCCAGGGTGCCTGGGTCCACGTCGTCACCCAGCAGCGCGAGGTGGGTCGGCCTGCCGTGGGAGCTGCCTGGCACGGCAGTCGCTACGCTCTGTCTCAGTTCATTCAGCTTTGTGCCCCCCTGGCCCATGACCCTCACGCAGTACCGGAGCGAAGGCACCTTGGCGTACCTCACTATCCCGTGCGCAGGTAATCCTGCGCGCTTCACGCTTGCCGTGCGTGCTCTCCTGGCGGCAAACTTGATGGCCTTCCTGCTGATGACTTCCGCTCGCCTGCGCCACTGCGTCTCGGCGTCGAGCGTGCACGGTGACATGCCCAGCGTTGTCTCGAGCATGCGGACCCTCGACTCGATGAGGAGGGGGTATTAGTGCTGGACAAATTCCCTGATCCCGTGCGTCCCCACGGCCAGGTCGTCGAAGAACAGGTAGGTGTCCGCCCACATGGCGGCCCCCACCAGCTCGTCCAGCTCCAGGATGATGCTGAGGCAGAAGGGAGCGGGCTTGCGTACTGCCACTCTGCCACGCTGCCGCGCGCGGACCTCTGTGCAGCACCCGTCCAGCATGATGCGCCCCACCATGCTGCATATCCTGAGCATCACTCTCAGGACGATCTTGTTTTAAGTCGGGCATGCCCCTCTACAAGAGGAGTATTCAGAAATAGTCAAATAATAGTATGGGTTCGATGCCTCGACTATGTTTGACACTGTTTGAACTAGTTTTATATGTATCCGCCTGTAGGAGGACATGCCCGACCGAAATCTTGTTGGACCCCCCGTCTGCAGCCCGCCTCCCAGACCTTGGCGCGCGCGACCCTTCGAAGCACCGTGACCAGGCCGAATCACCGTGATCCAGGGCTGGACCTGAACGCTGTGTTGCTGGACTTCGGCTGTGGTTTGTTGTTCGTTCTGGCAGGGAGGTGCAGGGCAACAGGTCGAGCACAACGAAACCACAACGAGCACAACACGAACATCACCGTCTAGGTCCAGCCCTGCCGTGACCGCGTAACTACTCGAGCCCGCCTGCCCTCGCGGCCCCGCCGCGCAGCGCCCGCGCCCAGGCTGCCCGCTGCGAGGAGCGGCCTCCGCGCGCCCAGCCGTGCAGTCGGGCCGCTGGAGAGTGTATGCGTCGTGGCGGGCGCTTTCTGGTCACACCGCTTGGGGAAGCGATGCGCTGCAAGATGGGCATATACTAGATGTTCGGGTCGGACGCGCGCCTCCAAGGAGGATATATATATATATATATATATATATATATAGCATGCGTACCTGTACGATCACCCTTCGGGTGATGAGGAGGTTGTGTGGGGACACCACGGGACACTTGTCGATCTCACTATCGATCTCACTCAACGGGACACCACGGGACACCACGGGACACCTCGCGATCTCACGATCGGTCTCTCTATCGATCTCACTATCGATCTCACTCAACGGGACACCATAGGACACCACGGGACATCACTGGACACCTCGGGGCACCACATATATCTCACTATCCATCTCACTATCGATCTCACTCAACGGGACACCACGGGACACCACGGGATACTTGTCGATCTCATTATGGATCTCACTATCGATCTCACTTTTTGGGGACACCACAGGACACCTCCGGGCACCATATCGACCTCACTATCGATCTCACTATCGATCTCACTCAACGGGGCACCACGGGACACCGCGGGACATCGCGAGCCACCGCCGGACGGACGGACGGACGGGCGGGCGGGGGAGAATGATGTGTCTTGACTTCGCCATAGCAACGGCGGACACCACGGGACCCCACGGGACACCACGGGACACCGCGGGACACCGCGAGCCACCGCCAGACGGACGGGCGGGGGAGAATCATTTGTCTTGACTTCGCTTTAGCAACGGCGGGTCCATTCCTCTCGTGCGCCCACGCAGCTTCGCCTCGTCCGCACGCACGACACGAACGAAACGAAAGGATTTCCCGGTTGGTGGTCTCCGTTCTTTTGCGATCTAACCCCCCAACCTCCAATGTCTTTGTGCGTCTCATTTTCCGTTGGGGAGGGGCTCGGTGGTCCTTCATTGTTTCACCGTTTGTCTTAGATTGCTTGTCGGGTTCCCATGGGAAATCGATGTTCCATTTTTCGAACCAAAGGGGGCCTCGTTCCTCGTGTAGGGTTCCTTGCGACAGCGGCTCGACTGTAGGCTCTCTGGTGAGTGGCTTCCCACCGCCGGGCGTAAGGGATGCGGATGGCCTCCCAAACTCGTGCCAGCTCGGAGGTGATGCGGATGGCCTCCCACACTCTTGCCAGCTCCGAAGTGAGCGAGTCCCAAGTTTCGGACCCCTTCCCCCCGGCTTGCTGCGGCATGAACCGTGGTGGGATGGTAACCTGCGCCGTTGGCCGCAGCGTGCCCCGCTCCACCGCAGGCAGCACGCTGGAGATACGCGCTGCTCCTTGCACGCCTCCCTGCTTCCACAGCCGCGGGTGCCAGTCTGCCTCTCCCGTCCCCGTTGCGGTACGAAAGTGTCGAGGAGGGGAGGAGGAGGAGGAGGAGGAGGAGGAGGAGGAGGAGGAGGAAAGTCTCAGGACAACGCACCATTTTCGGGACTCCAACGCCACGAATCAACCTGATTGATGTGTCTTGACGATCCTGAATCGTACTAGAACGCCATTTCTGGGACTTCAGCACCGCGAATCAACATAACTGTTGCGCCTAGACAATCCTGAACCGCTCCGGCATACATTTCTGGTACGTTGGCCAAGGGAACCCGTGAAAGTAGGCGAGAGTCACCTTTTGCTAAGGAGCCGCCTTCAGTCCGTGAAACTCTTGCAGTTGTGCGGAGTGAGTGTGCGCGACTCAGAGGCGAGAGCCACACTTTTCAAACGCCCCGTGCCCAATCCGTGAAATTCTTGCGTAAGACGAATGTGCGCAACGCGGGGGCGAGAGCCACATATGGAACCTCACCAGTCCTCAATCCGTGAACCTCTTTCATTTTTTAATGACGAATGTGCGCGGTGCTAGGGCGAGAGCCACATTTTGAAAACGGCCCGCCACCCAATTGTGAAATTGCTGCCAACCTTTGTTAGCTTCAGGATTGAAAATGGTAAGGACGTCTCGGGCGAAACGCCAAGCCCGCCCGACTGGCCTCTGGACGCGACAGGGAGTATTCATAAGGAGAAGAGATGGAGGAGCAGGAGGGGGAACGGAGAAGGAGGAAAAGAGGAGGATGAGGAGGACGAGGATGCGGAGGAGGAGGAGGAGAAGGAGGAGGAGGCAAGGCCTCCCAAATGGGGTCCGAGTAGATTGGGTCTGAGGATCGCGCCACATCGCCGATGCATCGGCGATGCGGCTCGATACGGGGCCCGATTTTCTCCGCGCCCACGGCGCCGATGCATCGCCGACGTCGCCGATGCATTGGCGATGCGCTGCGATTCTATGACCCCATCCACTCGGACCCCATTTGAGAGGCCTCCAGGCAAGGACGAGGAAGAGGGGGAATAAGATGAGGAAAAGGAGGAAGACGCGAGGAGGAGGAGGAGGAGGAGGAGGAGGAGCAGCAGCAACAGCAGCAGGGAGCGGCAGAGGTTCCGTTTTCTCGGCCGCACCTCTCGAGGATGACACCGTGCGCATCCAGTTCTGCTCCTCCCTCAGCGGGCCCTGATCCTCCTCCTCGTCCTCCTAGTCGTCGCTCGGGCAGGCCCCCTAACCCAGCTACGGCGGCCTCAGGCCGCCGTGACTTCCGACCACCCGCGACCCCTTCCCCTTCGTATTCCTTTCCGCGGACCTCCTCGCCCTCTCGGTGCCTGCGTGCTCGCCTCGGGGCTCTCTCCCTCCCCTCGCCGTTCCGCCCTCGGCTCCTCTCGCCGTGCTCCTGTCCCCCCCCCCAGCTCCGCGAGAGGCCCAGAGCCGGCAGACGACGGCCCGCAGACGGCCCCCGCCGGCCGAGGTCCCGCGGCATCGCCCTCGTCAGGAGCGAAAGAAGGACGTACATGTACATGAATCCACGCTGGTTTCGAGAGCACGCATTGCACAAATGTTCGTATCACGCGGCCGGTCTCGCGAATCGAGGGGCCGTGTTCATGTACATAGCTGGGCGCGTACGTCCTTTGTGGGCTCCCTACCTCGGGGCCGCACTCGGTGGTTCAAAGAGGGGGTCCCGAGGGGACGGGGTCCCGAGGACGAGGCGCCTCGAACAATGCAACTTCGCCCCTGGACCCCTTCCCATCGTTAGGACTGAGTCGGGCCTTTTCCCTTTACAGGAGCAATCTTCAAGAATAGTTAAAACATATTATGGGGACTTCTCTTCGGGTAGTGTTTGACAATTTGGGGTATTTTTTGAGTATTTCTATGTTTCGTCGAGAAGCCCCCTGTAGGTGCACACGCCCGACGTAACCTGAGAAAGAGCGTGTTCTACCGCTGCTGGCGGAAAACCGGGGGGGGTCACTACCGGTTCGAACCCCTCCCCCCCCCCTCCGGAAAACCGGGGGGGGTCACTACCGGTTCGAACCCCTCCCCCCCCCCCCCCCAGCTCATCATGAAAAGGGGGGGGGGTCACTACCGGTTCGAACCCCCCCCCCCCCCTCGAAAACCGAGTGGGGGTGCGGACAGTGGTGGGGACGGTGTTGGTGGGGACAGTGGTGAGGGGACAGCGGGACAGTGGTGGGGACAGTGGGGGGACAGTGGGACAGTGGTGGGGACGGTAGTGGTGGGGACAGTGGTGGGGACAATGGTGGGAACAGGGGGGACAGTGGACAGTGGTGGGAACGGTGGTGGTGGGGACAGTGGTGTGGGGACAGTGGGAATGAGGTGGAAACACTGGGACAGTGGAGGGTACAATGGTGGTGGAGACACTGGTAAAGGCGGTGGCGAGGACGGCGGTGGGACAATGGGACAGAGGTACAGTGGGGACAGTGGCGGGGACAGTGGGGACAGTGGTGGAAACAGTGGGACAGCTCAGTGGGACAGCGGAGGAGTCAGTGGGACAGTGGGGACAATGGGGATAGGCAGTGGTTGGGTTCGTGGAGACAGTGGGGAGAGTGGAACCGTGGTGGGAACAGTTGTGGGAACAGTGGGGACAGTGCGACAGTGGTGGTGGCATTGGTGGGGACAATGGGGACGGTAGTGGAACCAGTGGGGACAGTGGTGGTGAGGACAGTGGTGCTGGGAACAACAGTGGGGGATGTGATGCGAGCGGTGGTAGGGACCGGGAGTCGTTTGCTGGCGGTGCGTGGGGGGGGGGGGGGGTCGAACCGGTAGTGACCCCCCTCCGGTTTTCGAGGGGGGGGGGGGGGGGGGGGGGGTTCCAACCGGTAGTGACCCCCCCCGGTTTTCCGGATCCGGAGGGGGGGGGGGGGGGTTCGAACCGGTAGTGACCCCCCCCGGTTTTCGGAGGGGGGGGGGGGGAGGGGTTAGGGGAGGGGGGGTTTTGCCGGGGGGGGGGGGGGGGGGGGGTTCCGGCAGGGGGGGGGGATTTCGGAGGGGGGGGGGGGGGCCGGGTTCCGGCGGTGGATCACGCTCTCTCTCTAACCTTAGGACCACATCTCTCAGGACCGCGCAGCTTTGAACCACCGACGCACGCTCCCCCCCCCCCCCTCAGGGAGGGGGGGGGCGCTCCACGGGCCGTCCCGCGGGCGCTCGGCGCCCCGCCCCGCCCCCCCCCGTCGGAGCGGGCTGGCGGAGTCCTGGGAGGCTGCCGAGGCGCCAGCTGACAGGTCAAGGGCAGGTTCGTCCGCTGCGCGCAGGAGCTGCAGCAGCGGTTCCCCGGCGTGCGCATCGAGGGCGGGCCCTACACGCCGCCCGCTGCGGTGCAGTACGGCATCCGCGCCGTGCGCGTGGCCCAAGGGGCCACAGGCGCCGCTGGGCTGGGAAGACGTCGGCGTCGTCGGCGCCGTCGTCGTCGACGTCGTCATCGTCGGCGGCGGCGGCCTCGGTTGCGGCGGCAGCGGCGGCGGTCGTCGTCGTCGTCGTCGTCGTTCGTCGTTCGTCGTCATCCTCGTCCGTCGTCATCGTCGTTCGTCGTCCGTCGTTCGTCGTCCGTCGTTGGTCGTCCGTCGTGTGTCGTCTGTCGCCCGTCGTCCGTCGTCATCGTCGTCTGCCCGGGCTGGGCAGCCGGAAAGAGTGATCAAGGCCAGTTTGGCCAGTCTCTTCCAGGTTGTTCGCAGCCTTTGCCGCCTTGTCTCAACAGTCTCGGGCTCGCTCTACCCATTCGCAGTTCTTGATGGATTCTCCAGATTCCTTACATGTGTCCAGCTCCCTTGTATGTCTCAAACAGTGTTGGCACTTGGTGCTTCTTACTCCCCAATCAGTGCTTGCGCTGAAGGGGTCCTCGCGGATGTTGAAAGATTTGGCGAAAGTGCCCCGCCGATTTTGGTCGCATGTTGGGTTCCCGGGTTCCCGGGTTCCCGGTTCCGCGGTCCTGGGTTCATGGTTCCGGGTTCCGGGCCGATTTCGGAGGGCGGCGAGGTTCCCGGGTTCCCGGGTTCTTTGTCGATCTTCTTATCGATCGGTCTCACCATCGATCTCATTACCGACTGCTCGGTCGATCTCACCATCGATCTCACAATCGATCTCACTATTAATCTCACAAGCGATCTCACTAGAGATCGCACGAGCGACCTCGCGATCGATCTCTCTATCGATCTCATGGAATCGATGTCGCTCTCGGTCTCACGGTCGACCTTACACTCGCCCTCACCATCGATTCCACCATCGATCTCGTTATCGATCTCACGAACGACCTCAATAGCCATAGTATCAATGTTCAAAGCATCCACTGATTGGGTTTTCCCAGGTGCCATTTACCAGGTCAGTACGTAAGTGGAGCAGTGTGCTGAGGTTTCGCCTGGTTGGCGCCTCCTGGGCGCTCCGTGCGCTGGCCGGACCTGCCGAGGTCTCGCCCGGTGCGCCGCCGCGGGTGCCTCGGGGGCGCCCCGCTCGCCGGGTGGGGCCTGCCGAGGTTCCCGCCTCGTGGGGGCGCTCCGTGGGCGCCTCGCGGGCACCCCGTGTGCTGGGCGGCCTGCCGAGGTCTCGCCTCGTGGGCGCTCCGTGCCCTGGCTGGGTCTGCCGAGGCCTCGCCCGGTGGGCGCCAGTGGGCTCCTCGTGGGCACTTCGCGCTGATGAGACTGCACGACTTCCACCGCAGTTCTCACCACGCAGCTCACACCACATGGCCTGCACCACATTGCTTGCACCACGCGTAGCTTGCACCACACTTCTTACACAACATACCTCGCACCATACCTGTATTGCACCACACTGCCTGCAGTGCGCACAGCTTGCACAACGTAGCGGAGCGTGTACCATGTAGCTCACACACAGAGTGCAAGAGCTCGCTGTTTAAGGTCACGCTGGCAAACATGTTGATTCGTTTGAACGCTGGGTGCCCAGCCACTGGGACCACCAGGACCTCCCGTTACGGCGCTCCACTACTACCACGGTGGGTAAATCGGCCGCTCCGCATTTTGCACGGGACGCAATTCGTGGGAACGCCGCTGCTTTCACAATGTCTACAGATGTTGTGTTCCAGCATCTTCTGCGTTGGCAGAGGCAGTGAAAAAGCCACCGTGGCCAGCGCGGACAGAAAGCTCGCCCGACTCTGAGCCATCCGCGCAGAGGGGTGCGGCCGGGGGAGCATTCAAGAAGCACCCCGCCTCGCCAAAGAGGCCACCCCCTCGCGCCGCTTCCTCGTGCGCGCCGCCAATGCAGGGCCGTTGGGTCGTCCCTCTCGTGCTGCCTGAGGGCGGGAGGGGGCACAACGAGCGGTGGGCGTCGTCGTAACGGCGTGCCCCGCGGGGCGTGCCCGTCACCTTCCGAAGAGCCTCGCGGGCATTGATGGACATCGCCTCCGTCTGCTCGGCGTCTCCACAGGAAAGAAGGACACATGTGCCACTCACAATTCACCACGCGTTGCCTGCCAGAAGCCCCGCGATGGGGCCCAAAACAGTCCAAAAGGGCTCCAAGATGGCCCAAGAGGACCCCAAGACGGCCCCACGAGAGCCCCAAGAGGGCCCAAAGAGGCTCTCAAGAGGGCCCCAAGAGGCCCCCGAGAGAGCCCCAAGACGGCCAATGGCCTCCAAGACGCCCCAAGATGGTCTCAAAGGGCCCCAAGATGTCTCCAAATTGCCCCAAAAGGCCTCCCCAAGGGCTCCAAAAGGGCCCCCAAAAGACCCCGACGAGGCCCACGAGACGCTCAAGAACATCATGGTTCCCATCAGCGAGCGGTGACGTGACAAGCTCTTGACACCAAGGCTCCCCAGAGCGCGGTGACGTACAAAGCTCGTCACACCACGGCTCCCAAGAGCGAGCGGCAACGTAAAAGTCTGAACACCAGGGCTCCCAACAGAGAGTGGTGAAGTAACAAGCTCTTCACACAAAGGCTCCCAAGAGCGAAGGGTGCCATGAGCCCTCTCGTGCAAGTTTCTGAGGCGCTCGTTCCGTTTCCGTGCCGGCCCAGGTGACGGAGAGGTACGAGCAATGTACGTTGAGTTGGGCGTTTGCGCCTCTCTAGGGGGGGTGCAGAGGGGGGGGGCGCGGAATTCTCCGGTTCATGGCCGCCCGGGGGCTGTTTCCCTTGTAGTTTTTTCGAGTGAAGCGGCTCCCGGGCGGCTCCCATGGCCTGTTTCTTCATATATTTTTCGGGGGAAGCGGCCAGAGCGCCCCAAGACTGCCCAAAACGGCCCAAGAAGGCCCAAGACTGCCCCGAGAGGGCGTCAGATGGCTTCCAGACGGTCGAAGAGAGCCTCAAGACTGCTCCAGAGGCCCTCCAGAGGGCACCCCAAGAGGGCCTGAGGAGGCATTGATTTCCCTTGGGTTTTGGCAAGTTTTTTTGGTTATCCTTTTTTTCGGGTCCAGAAGGATCAAGGGTCCCAGACGGCCCAAGAGGCCCCAAAGATCGTCCCAATACGGCCCCAGAGGCCCCCCAAAGGTGCCGAAAACGGTTCAAGAGGGCCCCCAGACGGCTCAAGAGGGCCCCGAGACGGCTTCAGCTTGTCACGAAACGGTGCAAGATTTTCCAAAGACGCCCGAAGGTGGCCAAGGCGGCCCAAGAGGCCCCAAAGACGCTCCGAGAGGGCCCCGAGAGGACGCCAAAGAGGCACAAATCGTCATATACTTATGGGAAAACGAACATATTCAGCATATCCACCTTTTCTGATGTTACGCGGTCAAGGACAGGCCAAGGGGCCCCACAAATCGCCCCAAGACGACCCAAGCGGCCCCCAAGAGGGCTGCATGACGGCCCAGGAGGGCCCCAAGATGGCCCAATGGGGCCCCCAGACAGCCCAAGAGGGCCCCGAGACGGCCCCATGAGAGCTCCAAGAGGCCACCAAGAGGCTGTCGAAAGGGCTCCAAGAGGCCGCCGAGACAGAGCCCCAAGACGGTCCAAGGGCTCCAAGACGCCCCTAGACGGCCCCAAAGGGCCCCAAGACGGCCCAAAAGAGCCCCCAAAATGTCCAGAAGGGTTCCAGAAGGCTCCCAAAAAGACTCCCAAAAAGGCCCGGAGACGTCAAATACAAGAGCGATCGGTAACGCAACAAGCTCTTCACACCAAGGTTCCCAACAGCGAACGGTGACGTGACAAACTCGTAACACCAAGGCTCCCAAGAGCGAACGGTGACGTAAACAAGTCTCAACACCACGGCTCCCAAGAGCGAGTGGCAACGTAAAAGTCTATGAACACCAAGGCTCTCAAGAGCGAGCGGTGACGTAACAAGCTCTTACCACCAAGGCTCCCAAGAGCGAAGGGTGCCATCATCTCGGTCAGGTTCCTGAGGCGCTCTTTCCGTTCCCGTGCCGGCCCAGGTGACGGAAAGAGCGACCAGGCGCCAGACGCGCCACGTGCTCCACGTGCGCCAGATGGCCGCATACTCCAGCCAGGCCAGGTGCGCCACGTTCGGGGAACGTGCAGAGTGTGTCAGGTGCGCCTGCGCACGTGACAGCACACATCGGGAAATATGTTGGCCCCCACCGTCCTTGTCGGAAAAATGCCTATCATTGTGTCTGGTGGGCCTGCGCGCAGCAGGTCATATGTCACCACCCTCGCCGTCCTTGCCAAAAACCGCTTGACTGATCGCGGGGTGGCCGTGCATGAGCCAGATTTGGCCGCGAGGTGCATTGTGTACTGTTTCTTGATAGGGCTGGTTGCCCTGCGCACAGCAGGCAATAGGCTGACACCCCCGCCGTCCCTGTTAAAACCAATACACAGTGCTCGCGGGCCTCACGAACATGACTCAAGACTACTCCCCAAATTGTCTGTTGCATCGTTTTTTTGCCAGGGATGGTGGGGGCGGGGGAGGGCGCATCGGGTTGGTTGCGCATGCTCCGAATTTGGAGGCAGAGTGTTGTTTGTTATGTTCTGGCTTGGACAGGGATGGTTGGGGGCGGGGATCATAGGGTCGGCATAGTTCCTGGTTGGCTGCCAGTCGCCCGGGGGAGGGGGCGTATATGTACCGCGCAGGGGAAGAAACGATGATACCAGAGAGAAGACAGGAGTTCGTTAAACCGCCTACGCCCAGAGAGCTGGTTGGATTAGTTGTACTTGCAAGAAGTGTGGATGTTTTATATGGTGCACAGCGCAAGTAAAGGATGATATACCAACCATACAAACGAAACCAGCCTTGTGTGGCGCGATGTGATGCGATGCGAGGTGATGCGACCGTATGTGATGCGAATCGATCGTCTGCGATGCGATGCGATGTCATGCGATGATATGCGATGTAATGAGACACTATGCAACGAGATGTCTTACGATGTTGCGCGGTACGATACGATGTGATCTGATGCTCAGATTTTTGGTGCGAAGCAATATGTGTTTAGATGGTTAAGTATAAGCGTCTTAGGCTCAAGTTGTATCAGTTAACCGACTTGCGTTGCCTAGTTCTCGTCGAAGATGTCCACCCTTACCATGTCTCATTCTAAAGCCACTGTGCTTCGTTCCTGGAGGGGTTCAGGCCTGCAGCAGTGTCTGCGCAGGCGATCGAACGTGCATGTGAGCACGATCTCAGCACCACCACGTCTCACACTGGACAAGTGTTTTCACGATTATGGAGGTGTCCTCAGTTCCCTAGCATACTACTTTGATGCATTGCACCTTCGCGACTCCGAGAGAATGCGGAATGTGTGGCACCCATCCTCACATCTCAAGCGTGTCGACCCAGATAGCGGACTTGTTGACATCGATGCGCAGCGTTTCTTTGAGATCGTCGGTGAAGCGACTGGTGAAAGAGCTCCGAGCCAGCACCTCAAAGATCGGGTTTGGAGCATCGATTTTGCTGGCCCCGACACCGTGCTTGCAAAAGTGGAGATTTTGCTTGGCACGAGCATTTACACAGATTATCTGTCACTTCTTCGATTGCAAGAAGGTTGGCGTGTGATCAGTAAGTTGTTCACATCTCGTTCAGCGGTGGCACCTGCCTTCGTTGACACCACCCCTCCAGCAGCTGCCCATGCTGAGATCGGAGCTGCGGTTGCGGAGTATATCAGTGCCTGCCGCACATCTGATGGGCC